TGGTTTTTCGAGACAGGGTTTCGCTGTGGTTTTGGAGCCTATCCTGGAACTAGCTCTTGTAGACCAGGCTGGTCTCGAACTCACAGAGATCCACCTGCCTCTGCCTCCCGAGTGCTGGGATTAAAGGCATGCGCCACCACCGCCCGGCTGGCCCATGCTTTTAATTCTGGTGCTTGAGAGAAGTATGAGGTCTCTGTGAGTTCAAGACCAGCCAGAGCTACAGGAGTGAGACTCTGTCTGGATATAAGGTTCAGATGGTATAAGAGCTTGCTATGCAAACCTGGTGACCTGAGTACAGTCCCTGGAACCCGTGTAAAAGTTGAAGGAGACAACTGACTACTGAGAGTTGTCCTCACTGCCACATGCCCATGCCCACACATAAACATCACACACACACACAAACACACACACACACACATGCCCACACATATACATCACACACACACACCCATGCCTATACATATACCTCACACACACAGACGCACACACACACATATGCCCACACATAAAAAAATCACACACACAAAACTAATCAACTAGTAAATTAATTAAGAAAATTCAAGATGGACATGGTAGCACATATCTATAATACTAGCACTTGGGGCAGAAGCGCGAGAATCTTGGAATTCAAGGCCAGTCTGCTCTATGTAATGAGTACCAGCCCAGTACTCACCACATAGCGAGACTCTGTCTCAGGGAAAAAAAATTTTTTTCACACATGTATTAGAAAAATTAAAGCAGGGCTAGAGAAATGACTCTGCAGTTGAGAGCACTGTTGCTCTTGGAGAGGACCTGACTTAGGTTCCCAGCACCCACATGGGGCTCACAACCATCGGTAATTCCAGTTCTAGGGGATCATTACCTTCTTCAGACCTTCTGTGGTCACCGGGAACACAATATGAGCACATACATGCAGCCTAAACACTCATAAAGTAAAATAAAATTTAAAAAAAGGAAAAGAATGTATGAGTTAAACCTGGTGGTATATGTCTGTAATCTCAACACTGGGATTGTGAGAGGTGGGACTCAAGAGTTCAAGGCTAGCCTAGTGGCAGGAGGCCAGCTTGGGCTACATGAGGTCCTGTTTGAAAACAAAAATAAAGAAAAGAAAAAGAATATAGTTGAAATGCCCGTATAGTGCTGAGGTTAAATTCTTTCCCCATACCCAAAGGGAACATTAACTTTAACTGGCTTATCACTGCCGTGCTTTTGTTTCTGCCAAATGGTTAGGCTCTGTGGCAAATGCCTTTAGCAATGAGCCAAGTCCCTGGACTTTTTTTTTTTAATGGGGTTTTGTTTGGACGTTTCAAACTTTATATTAATGCTTTCTTTTGCTGCATGACTGCATATATGTGTATGACCTTCTGTCATACAATTGTTCGTTTATTTTTCCTTCAACTTTGTTATGTTTTGCCTCCCAGGAACACCATTATGCGGGAGCTTGCCCCACAGTTCCAGATCCCATGGTCCATCCCCACAGAAGCCGAGGACATTCCCATCGTCCCTACCACATCTGGCACTATGTAAGGAAATGTTAAAATTCTGGGCTGGGCGGTGGTAGTGTGCCTTTAATCCTAGCACTGGGGGGGGGGGGGAGCAGAGGCAGGTGGATCTCTGTGAGTTCAAGGCCAGCCTGGTCTGCAGAGTGAGTTCTAGGACAGGCTTCAAAAGCTACACAGAGAAACCCTGTCTCGAAAAGAAAATATGTAACTCCAGCACCGTGTCTAATCTCAGCGCCCTTTGTTCTCTGATGTCTCCAGTAGAGTGTGATGGTGGGGGGTGAAGGTTTGGGGTGGGAGAATGGCTCTGAGAACACTCCCCATCTTAGGATGGAGCTCCGCTGTGTCATCGCAATTATCCGTCATGGAGATCGAACTCCAAAGCAGAAGATGAAGATGGAAGTGACACACCCGAGGTAGGAAGAACGGCCTAATTTAGATGGATAGTTCTTTGTAGGGAGAAGGGACGGAGCACAGTTCCCAGGAGGTCTGATTTCTTTTCTGACTTTTAACTTCTTTAAAGGTTTTTTGCTCTCTTTGAAAAACATGGTGGATACAAGACAGGAAAGTTAAAACTTAAGCGACCTGAGCAGCTCCAGGTAAGGTGGTGGGTCTGGGCAGGAGCCCTCGTCTGACAAGAAAGAGTGTGGGGTTGAGAAGGGATGGACGGGAAGGTGAAGTGGACAGGAGGAAGGCCTGCACGGTTCCCGGTGGTCTCTCTAGGAGGTACTGGACATTACGAGGCTCCTGTTAGCTGAACTGGAGAAAGAACCAGGCATTGAGATCGAGGAGAAGACCGGGAAGCTGGAGCAGCTGAAGTCCGTGCTGGAGATGTGAGAAAGGGACAGCAGCAGGGAGCTCCTCACAGGAGCTGAGGTGCAGGGCAGAACGTGATGCATGGCTGTTCCCTGCAGGTATGGCCACTTCTCAGGTATCAATCGGAAGGTGCAGCTGACTTACTACCCCCACGGAGTGAAAGCTTCAAACGAGGGCCAAGGTGAGCAGCTCTCTTCTGTATCTCATCCTCCTTTTCTTCTTTCAAATTTTTTAAATTATATTTACTTATTGGTGGGGGTGGGGCACACGTGCCAGAGAGCAACTGTGGAGCTCAGAGGACAACTGTGGGGGTTGGACCCCTCTTTCTACCATGTTGGTTCTGGGGGTAGGTTTGGTGGCAGATGCCTTTACCAGCTGAGCCATCTTACTGGCCTCTTTTGTAAGACCCAGTCTTGCTATGTAACCCAGGCTGACTTCAAATTCCCAGCAATTCTCATGCCTCCGTTTTCCAAGAGCTGGTTTTCCAGGCATGTGTCACCATACTCGGCTCTCAGATCTCTTATTCTCGACCTTGTGGATGGTTTCTACCTGTAATTACCTCTGTTCTTTTTTGTTGTTGTTGTTTTGTTTTGTTTTTCAAGACAGGGTTTCACTGTAGTTTTAGAGTCTGTCCTGGAACTAGCTCTTGTAGACCAAGCTGGCCTTGAACTCACAGAGATCCGCCTGCCTCTATTACCGCTATTCTTGTCAGAAGCCTAATGTCTGTGTATTCCCATCATAGTCCCTGGGAAATGCCCATCCACAAACCTTCTTCCCTCAGATACACAGAGAGAAGCCGTGGCTCCCTCTCTCCTGCTGGTACTGAAGTGGGGTGGAGAGCTGACTCCTGATGGCCGTGTGCAGGCCGAGGAGCTGGGGCGAGCTTTTCGCTGCATGTACCCTGGAGGCCAGGGTAAGTGTTGGAAAGTGAGTGCCCAGCATGGCTGGGATAAGATAATTAGAGTGAGGGGAGGGGAGGAGAGGGGAAGGAAGAGGCAGACGCTGTGAGGATACTGAAGGGACAGATAATATTGTTCCCCCACATGACTGGGTGACAGTCTGTGCTGGCGTTCCCCTTGGCTCCAGGTGACTATGCTGGCTTCCCTGGCTGTGGGCTGCTTCGTCTCCATAGTACTTTCCGTCATGACCTCAAGATCTACGCGTCTGACGAGGGTCGCGTGCAGATGACTGCTGCCGCCTTTGCGAAGGTAAGCCCTCTCGTTCTTCCACTGCCTCCGCTTCCATTAGGTAGAGAGACAGAGTTTGGAGGACTCGATGGAAAGGGGAACGGTTGGAGTCGGCCTCTTCAGGCTCTCTCTCCATCCCGTGTCTGGGATGTCGACCAGGAAGAGAAGCTAGTAGACCTGTGCTTTCCTTCCAGGGCCTCCTGGCTCTAGAGGGGGAGCTGACACCCATTCTGGTGCAAATGGTGAAGAGTGCCAACATGAACGGGCTGCTGGACAGCGACAGTGACTCCCTGAGCAGCTGCCAGCACCGCGTCAAGGCACGGCTGCACCACATTTTGCAGCAGGACGCACCCTTTGGCCCCGAGGACTATGACCAGGTAACATGCTCCTCCTCTGTACCCCGGCTACCCTGCAACCTAATTCCTAACATTCTAAATACTACTACCTGTTATATGCTAGGCACTGTTTTAGGATATTAATCTACAGTATTTTGTTTAATCCTCCCAACCACCCTTTGGGGTAAATTCATGTCCACAGTTTTCATTATCCACAAATTCAAAGATTAAAACTATTTATGTAAGGGCTGGAGAGATGGCTCAGATGTTAAGAATACTAGCTACTCTTCCAGAGGTCCTGAGATCAATTTCCAGCAATCGTGGTGACTCAGAAGCATCTATAATGAGATCTGGTGCCCTCTTCTGGCCCACATACATACATGCAGGCTGAATACATAATGAATAAACAAATTTTTAAAAATTTATTTATTTATAAAAATATGTTGACATAAGTTTGGTTCATTTGGCAGACCTATCATAAGACTATTTAGAATCCTTATTTATTTCACTTAATGTAAATGTCATATATTTTGCTGCATTAATATTAATGTGTTTGATTGTGTCTTGAGCTCTGCTAGAGATATTATATGCCCTGTGGTTTATGTTTTAAATCCTGTAATCTAAAGGAAAGCTTAGTCCTTAAACCGCTGACTTTGGGTCTTGAAGTTGGAGGACTGTTTCAGTGATCTATGTAAAAACCGCTTCCGGGATTATAACTTAGAGTGCTCACCAGTTCACTCCTCACAGTCTTGGGCTCATCTGGCCTTACTTGTGCTTTCCTGACGTGGTAGTGCAGTGCTGATTGGGGTGGGAATCTATTATATCTGGAGGCTTAACTAGAATTCTGGGATAGCTGGCTCTTGACTTCATCCTCTCCCTGTAACTGCAGGACCTGTCCCCTTCACAAGAATTTGTCATGTGATTGGTCTAGTATCTTAGTTTTCCCAGGTGAAGTTAGACGCACCCCCAAGTTTCCTTCCTTTTTTTTTTTTTTTTTGAGGCAGGGTGTTGCCATGGAGCCCGGACTGGTCTTGAACTTGCAGTGACCCTCCTGCCTCTGCCTCCATCTACAAAGCTTCCAAGCTTTCTAAAGCAGGGGGTCCAGAAGTAATACAATGAATGGTTGTCATTTTATCGTGGTGAAGCAGTCACAAAGCGAGGCCTGGTTCACAGAAAGAGAGAGAGAGACAAAGGACAAAGAATTAATGCTCACCTTTAATCTGCCTGGGAAGTCTTAGAACTTGCCTACCCCTCTTTCATCTTACAGAGGAGGGACCTAAGTTCTAAGTAACTTAAACAACCCTTTCAAGGTGGCAGAGGTGGTCTAGACCCCAGGAGTCGTCTCTGAAGGCCTGGCTGCTTAGTACTTCAGTCCCTGCTGCCCATCGGCGTTGATGGCAGTTGCCGTTCCCAACTCAGTCTTCTTTTTCCTGAGTATCTAGGCCACAGTTGGCCGGGTAATGGGTTGGGTTTGTTTGTTTGTTTACTGTCCCACACTTAATTTTGATAAGTTCTTTATTTTAGTATATATTTAATTTTTTTATGTGAATGAGTGTTTTGCCTGTACATACATATATATGTAGATACATATATGTATATATACATATACACATACACATACACATACACACACACACACACACACACACACACAC